GAATAGTCAGAATTGTGTTTCTGAGTGCACTAAAATCTATAATGTGTATGTGTATTTTTTATTCGAAAACATCATGTAAAATAAACAAAAAACCCTGCAATCTATGAGTAAGAATGGGACCATTCTTTACGGCAATACTTTGTCTTTATAAGCACAAAAATACCAGTATTTTCTTAATCTTTCTAGTCGAAATGATGAAACCTCTTTTTGTGTATATATGTATATATATAATGAAAGGGAGCGAGATGTGGGGGAGGGATAAAGAAAGAAAAGAAGGAGAAAGAAAAGAGGAGAATTAATGAAAAGGGGGATAAAGAAAAGAAAGGGAAGGAGAAAGAAAAGAAGGGGGGAAGTGAGCTTAAAAGAATGATCGAAGAACCAATAAACAAAATAGAAACAATGATTAATAAAAGCGACTGCAAAAAAGAAAATCATTTTCTATTCATTAAAGTATGAAAGACTGGCTTTATTAACCTAACTTTTGACATTGGTCACTTACGACAGTGATTGCTGAAAAGTTCTCGGCCTATCCCAAGATCTGACCAAATGCCAAGATCTGACCAAATGAGCAAACACCAAAATTTTATTTGGAAGGATTTCCTATTCAGGCCGATAACTTTTCAGCAATAACTCATATACAATTATAGCCATAAATCTAATACGAATGATTTGAACCGTGATAAAATCTAAAACGAAAAATCGTACTTATACGTTAAAATAAGTTTAATCTTGATACATTTGGTATAAAAGGGAATTTTTTTTACTGAATTTCTGGCACGAGGACTTATCATTTACACTGTTTTTATTCGGACTATTGTCCTCATCTTTGTTGTTTTATCACAACGTTTCGGACGAAACATTGTGATAAAATAAACAAAGATGAAGAAAATATTCCAATATAACGAGTGTAAAAATGAAATATTTCTATTTTTTTCCATTACTACTTAACACCAATGACATTCACTAATACAGTCAATGACAAGTTTATTATAAAACATTCTCAGCTCAATGTCAGCAAAGCATCAACCTTTTCTATCATTCGATACATCACAATTTTGCAACACCCTGGCATCTACTACTATTATTATTATTATTATTATTATTATTATTATTAATGTTGTTGTCATTATTATTATTTTTTTTTCTTTGATTTCTGGCGTTTACACATTTCTTTCCGGGTCCCGCCCAGGGACCCAAGGTTAGAAATGGCATCATGACACTTTCCACTGACAAAAAAAAAATACATAGATAAAGCTCTTCGTAAAGTGTGGGCTGTACTTGCCAGAACAATTTTTTGTATCTCCTTTAGGCATGGACTTCCAGGAATCCCTTCAATTAGTCTACTGCAATTTTTTCCAACCAGTCCTAGGGCTCCAACTACAACAGGGATTGTTGATGTTCCCATATGCCACATTTTCAAGATTTCTATTTCAAGGTCCTTGTATTTTGACAGCTTTTTGAATATCTTCAAAGATACATTGCAGTCAGCAGGGACTGCCATATCAATAAGGAGGCACCGTTTTTGTTTGTGGTCTTTAATAACAATACCTGGGCGGTTGGCCTTGATTGTTCTTGTCAGTGTGTATTGTGTAATCCCATAAAATTGTAACAGATCCTATCTCCGTGACCGGGTCTGTGTAGTTTTTCATACCTGTTTCTTTCAGTTTTCTTCCCGTAAAAGTTGCAAATTTTCCAGTGCAGATATTGGCCCACTGTCATGTCGGGTTTTATATTCAGTGGGTGCCAACATCGTGCAACCTGATACAAGATGATCAATCGTTTCTGGATATTTATCACAGAATCTGCATTTTGGGCTGACACAATATTTTAGTATATGTGCTTGATAATTCCTAGTTAGCAAGCATTGGTCCTGCACAGCAAGGATAAAACCTTCAGTTTCAGCTTTCAACCCTGCACTGCGTAGCCACTGATGGGTACGGGTTTTGTCTACATCAGCTTGGTTGGTACGGGCAGAGTATTGACCATAAAGCGGTTTATCTAACCATTGTTTGTGTATCTGGTCGGTTGCATTTGTCTTTGCTTTCTTTTTTAAGTATTTTGCATCTTCAGCCGGTGTACTGTGCTTTACTTGTACGCCCATTTGAAACTCCATTTTGAATTTTTTGGCTTCTTTCATTACGGAGTAAAGACGCTTACTACTTTCATGTTCCTTGACGCATACCATCATCCAGTCTTCTGTAGTTTCCAAGTATCTTTGGAGGCCAATTGTTCTAGTTTTGTAGGACAGTTCTAGTTGAACTAATCCTCTGCCTCCTTCGGATCTGGGCACATACAGACGATCAACATCAGCTTTGGGATGATGCATACGATACCAAGTGAGAAGCCTTCTCGTTTTGGCATCTATTCGCTTAATTTCAGCTATGGTCCAGTTAAGAACATTAAAGCTGTATTGCACCACAGGGACAGCCAATGTGTTTATAGCTGATATTCTGTTTTTTGAGTTTAGTTCAGTATTTAGTACCAGACGCACACGCCTGTAGTACACTTTTCTTATTTTTTCCTTCATTTGGGGGTGTTGTATGCCATTCCTTCGCTAATTCCTAGCTACTTATAAGCTTCATCATGCTCCAATTCCCTAATCTTCCCTAAATCTATTAAGGGTGTTTCTGTAATTCTACCTTTCTTGAATGTTACTTTTGCACATTTATCTAATCCGAAGTCCATACCTATGTCGTCACTGAAGTATTTTACAATATTGAGGAGGCCTTTCAACTCATTGTCGTCTTTGGCAAAGAGTTTGAGATCATCCATGTAGAGTAGGTTTATTATTATTATTATTATTATTATTATTATTATTATCAAATACGACAGAAGTATTTTGGTTTTAAATATACCTGCAAAATAACTCAGTAATAATTTAATTGCAAATACGTTCTTCCGTATTCCAATAAGCAAAATATCCATTGTGATATTTTCTTTTGAATGTAGGTTATCGATTCGCCTTTCCTCTTTTTTTATTACAGTTATTTTTCTCCTTTTCTAAATAGATCTCCTTGTATTTATGTCAATATATGTTGCTACCTTTAAGGAGCGTCTACCGTGGAGCCAGTAAGCCAGCCTTCGAATAATAGATTCATTCATCTTGTTTAGAATTGGTTTTCTGGTTCCTTCTAAAATCTTCTTCATTCTCTTTCACCCCCTGTAACCATCTTAGTTATATTATCGCCTTGCTGGGAGAGAATTGATATATATATATATATATATATATATATATATATATATATATATGTTTCATTAAAAACGACAGACAAGGTACTACGGTTAAGCTTTTTAATTAATTTTTCTTGTGTTCGAACAAGAGCTTTCTTTTCTGGACAAAGAATGTGTAAAAACTGTCTAAATATTCCGAGCGTTATCGGCTGTACCTTTAGCCATTATCAAGGATAATTCAATTTTTCAGCTTAATTGAGTGTGTATGTTTTAGTGTGTTGTAGAGATGTTTTTAATTTCCAAATACAGTTAGCACATTCTAGCCTTGTTTGCAGTTAATATTGTTACGATTTGGCTTTTTCTATTTTATTCCATTATTTATAATCTTTTTTACAGGTGGATGAAGTTATATTTGTGTTTTCTACTAGAATATTTCTAATGGAGTCTGGTAAATATGTGTGTGTGTTTAAACGGGATCTAATTGATCTATGATCAGATAGGTGTAACGTAAGGCGTCTGGATAAGCATGTGCTTGTGTAACCGATGTAATTATTTATGAGTCCGGTTTGATCAGGAACACAGTTCCTTAACGGACATTTGAACTCATAGATAATGTTCGTTCTTTGTAAGTTTGATTTAACTGGCGTGTTGTCATTTTTGAGGATAAGGTTGGCTGTCTTAAATTTTTTTACAATAGATAATTAATTTGTTTTTTATTCGGATCAATTGGGGTAGTGTATTTATTTATAATATGTCTTAGTGAAGATTCATCTTGTTTGTAGTTAATGTGCATTTGGTTTTTTAAATAAATGTATTGTAATTTTTGACTGTGTGTTGACTATCGTTATTACTTACTTTGGGGAGAAATACTCTAATTTGGTGGTCTATAAGGTGGTTAGGAAAGCTGTTTTTGATTTGTGTTTTTTTTTATATTAAGTTCTTTGAGAAAGAGTAGTCGAGAGGATGAATTTTGGTGTGCACTTTTTAGGAAGTTGTTTTTTTTATTACTGCTATTTTGTACCTGAGTGGACATTGGCTTTTAAAGTTAAGGTGGCAAGTTCATAGGTAAAGTTAAGGGCGGAGTTTTTCTCAAATCTGGTCTTAAATGTATCTATTTCTTTAATGTTATTTGCTAAAATAAAAATATCAACTACGTAGCGGATATATATTTTTGGTTTACGGACCAGTGTAAATATCATATTTTCTACATGGAAAAGCGTGGACTGAGTGGATTTCCTATGGCGTTAGTATGAAAAATCTACTTGTCAGAACAACATTTAGTTGCAGAAATCCTAATCTACTAATGTTTTAAGAAATATACAATTTCTTCGAATAAGTTCAGTTTTACTATAAAGCCCCCGACATTTGTAGAGCATGCTGCGAAATATATATATATATATATATATATATATATATATATATATATATATATATATATATATATAAAGGGATGCTCATGTTTGAGTAGACAGCTATTTTTTTTAAACAGTGAAAATTACGTCGACCGGCTTGCATTCAAGCGACTTAATAAGTTCGAATCTGCAATACCTTTTTAGAAGAAAAGGAGAAACCATTGTATGGTCCGGTGTGTTTTAGACCGCTCGGGTACGGCGAGCATATCAGACCTGCAAGGTTGAATTACCCTGTTCAGATCTCTATGAACATCCATGTCTGCTAGATTTTGAATCCAAAACGTAAACAAACCAATTTCTAATGAATGGATTTATTTTTACTCCGATATTATTTTTCATTACTCCAAAGAGAGAAAGAGACAGAGTGAGAAAAGTAGACAGAGAGACAGAGACAAAGTAAAAGATGTAGGGAGATACAAAGAGACAGAAAGAGAGAGAAAGAAAGAGACAGACAGAGAGAGAGAAAGAGAGAGAGAGGGAGAGAGAAAAAAGACGGGGAAACAGAGACAGACAGAGAGAGAGAGAAAAAAACAGTAACAGACTTAGAAAGATAAAGATAAGTAAGAAGTGGTAAATGTGTTCTATGAATAAGTTTTCAGCCTTATCTTCACAAGAAATCTGATCTATTGTTATTTGCAAAGTAGGTCGGAACTAGCACTTTTCACCACCCTTTTTCTATATTAAATATACTCTAATTTTTGCATGCAATTGTGCGTCCCACCTCTCTGAATTATTTTGAAACGAACCAGAAAGAAACAAGATCACAGACACACAGACACACACACCCATATATATATATATAATATATATATATATATATATATATATATATATATATATATATATATATATATATATATATATATATAAAAAGCCAATTACCTCAACATAGAGGATAGTCTATTTCAAGCCGTTCTCTACGCGGCTACCATCAAAACAACTTGAAAAAGACTATCTCTATGTTGGGGAAATTTTTGTTTTTTTGCTGTAAAAAATACAATGCTCTGTTATAATGAATACACCGAACTCTCTGAGGATCAGTTTTAATAAGTAATATTACTCGGATCCACCCGGATTATATACCAACGGATCGATTAAATATATATATATATATATATATATATATATATATATATATATATTACCGTATCTTTATTGTTTGTATGTAATTTCTGTCAGTCAATCTTTCACTTTTTCAGAAACTCTAATTGTAATCTATTTTTACCCCGATCCACGAAATTCAATCATTTTTTTTTTATTTTGTTAGCATTTACTATCTATCTCTTTATTTATCTAACATGATCACAAGGTGTTTTTAACGAAGCTACCAGTTATCATTTCCAATACTATTTTGACACAGTTTTTTCCTACAAAATTGTGTTTAGACTCGTCTCCCACCATATCTCTTCAATCTATTATTTATCAGAGCATCCAAACACATTTCTTGATACCTGTGGGAATAAAATGGTAACAATATCCGACATCATTGGGCCAATTTTCTAGCTATTTTTAGTGCCCAATTTCCAATACAACTGATTTTCAGAAGCTTTTGTGCTGGAGAGAAAATCTAGTTGAGTGCCGAGAGCCAGCGTAAAAGAAACTCTTAACAGGAACCAACATCTTCACTATTTTTGTACTCAGTGCAGTGAAATATTAAATTATTCTGATAGAGCTTTTATTCTGTATGGACGGGGCAAAGAAAAAGAGATTGGAAATTTGTAATGGTGGGACACTTTTTAACTTATATAGATTAATAGACATATCAAGACAGAAAGAAAGAATTACCAAAAATAGTTATATACAGACAAGGAAGAATTATTGATATGAGCTGATATGAAATAAGAAAGAAAAGAAAACAAATAAATTTTGTAAAAAAAAAAGATTTTATTCTATGTAAATGTGCATTTTCAACGACATAATATCTATGTTCCAAGATTGAATGTCCCAATGGCAATCTTCCACGTGAGAAATGCCATATTCAATGTGCTGCATGACTGCGCTATTTCTTTCTAATGACAATGTGTAGTATGTAATTCACACCAAAAATACCAGAGGTTTAAATCGAATTTAATTCCAATGAAGAAACTTTGGTCTAAGAAGAGTTGATCTGTGATGAGCTAAGTATGTACCGGGATGGCAGGACGTTATTATATAAATGATCGGTCCCATGAAGGAAAGCACAGTCCCCCAAATCCTTGTGAGAAGAAAACAGGACGTTTGAATAAAGTGTCCGAGAACCACATACCCACCACGGGTGAATAAACATATCTTCTACGTATGAAAGATTTAAAATATTTGCAATATATTTATTGTCTTCATCTGTATTGCCATATTCACAACGTTTGTACGCTCGAGCCTTGGTAAGGTGATATACGGTGAAATTTCGAACCGAAATATTTATTTAGTCCAAGGATGGGGGTAGATTGTTCTGATTCCATATGTAATGCTTTTTTTCTTTTTCTTTTTGTATATCTCAGTTTCAGTTAATTCCCTTTAATAACCCAATTCTTAAAGTTTTTGTTCCCTTTGCTATGGCCAGGTATTGAATTCACAACTTTGGGTCAAATCACTCTTTGGATTACTCAATCAATGCTTTTACCCACTAGGCCACAAAAATCTCCTAAGCCGGCGAAGTACAGACATGAATACAGTATGCGAACCAGTAACACAGAGAGCTAGAGGAATACAACAATAAAAAAAAAATATTTGATATGATGTCTGGTAAAAAAAGTGACTGAGACATTAGGTTTAAAAATCCTTAAAATATAGTCACTAATGTCCCCAAGGTGGATAAAAGCGTTGGTTGAGTAATCCAAACAACATTCTGGGTAATTTCTTATCGATGGCATGATCCATAATTGCTGAAATTTATCATGTTTTTGTTTTATAGACATCGTATGGGCACCTCATGCCTAACAATATTTTTACAGCTTCAGATGGCTGGGTTTTGATTTCAGAGTTGTCATTTATTCTAGACATAATTTATCAGAGCTAGATAGAACTCTGAACCATAGCCAGCAGGGGGGGTGAAGAAAAAAATAATTCATAATTTCCTTAAGGATAATTGTGTGAAATTGAGTGTGATGAACTAAATTGGAATTAGGGTGTTAGTTAGCTCCTCAGTATATCCGTGTAATTTCTGATAATATATATACGAACAACTTATAACATCAGCTGTTTTGACTTCTCTAGGGGGTTCATCATAATTGCCATTATATATATATATATATATATATATATATATACATATACATGTGTGTGTGGGGGGGTGGTTGTGTGTGTGTGTGAGAGAGAGAGAGAGAAAGAGAGAGAGAGTTACTGTAATCTCCATAAGAGTTAAAAATATAACTTTTATTATTTTTATTTTCTATTTCTTCTCTTTTAGGCTGAAGGATTTGGAATTTGAAGTTGATTCTTAATACAAAAGAAAACTCGAAATGATTCTGCAAATCCCGCAAATTTCCTAACAAACGATGTTTAGACAATATGCTTTAAAAATAGAACATTAACATGAAGAAAGCCTGAAGTCTTAACTAATTTTTTTAAATACTTGTGAATAAATCCTTTTCGAGTTAAATTTTTTAAAAACTAGTATTTTCTAGCTGAAACGTAATTTTTCTGCAGAAAAATCAATCCCTGACGTCATGAAAAAGAAAAAGTGAAAAAGGAAAAGAAAAGAAAAAGTGAAAAAGGAAAAGAAAGAAAGAAAAAAGAAAAAAGAGAAAAAATAGAAGAGAAAAGGAAGAAAAGAAGTTGAAAGGTTGAAGAAAACGAAAAGAAAAATAATTGCTTATCATTTACGTAACCCTATTCTATTGGGCATGTCTTCTGAAGGCTGACGTTTTGTGCTTATCTCTTCGTGAGTGGATGGCGGGGCATCATGGTCGGGTGTCGAGAGTTTCTATGTTTTAAGTTTGAAAGATGAGGAAGCCAAAGTGATTTGATAATTACATAGATATACTTAGGAAGACACCCTGCATGGATTGTTCCACCCGAAGTGAAGCTATTCCTGACTAAGCATCACATGCAAAGTTATGTGCTGATTTTATTAAAACTTGACACCATATCGCACAAATTTAGTTGTCATACAAGTTAATAATTTTATCAGACTGAGTGTCGTGATGAGTATATTAGCCTTTTTCTATTTTTTAACTCGGCGTAACTTTGTTGACGCGCTTCTCTCTTTCTTTATCTCTCTCTTTCTCCATCTCTCTCTTTCTCCATCTCTCTTTCCCTTTCCCTTTCTTTTTCTCTTTCCCTTTTCCCTCTCTCCATTTCCCATTCTCTCTCTTTCCCTTTCTTTCTTTCTCTTTTCCTTTTTCTCTCTCCCTTCTCCCCTCTCCCCCTCTCTCTCTCTCTCTCTCTCTCTCTCTCTCTCGCTTTCTTTTAATATTAATAATAATGAATGCCTCGGTTATCCTTGTTGCTACTACTGTGACTATAACTCATGAGAATAATAATGTATATATGGTTGTTGTAGTTGACGAGTAAATGATAATAAGATCAAGAAAAATAAAGACAAATATACAGGAACTTTAGACAAGTGAGAATGATGCCCACAGTAATTGGAAGACCCTAGTAATATGAAGAAACCTACAATTGCTTGACTCCCAACGACAACTGAACCTCTGCAGCAAACGTGTAAATTGTAATTACGTTATTATTAATTAGGTGAAAAATGTGTGTCTTCAATACCTCATTAACAAAACTAATATTATGGATGGCAATAATTATTAGAATTGATACTGTAGTAATATTCATAACAAATAAATTATTATAGTCATTACAAAATTATTATCTGAATTTTCTCACTAGACGAACCTAACAATTTTCGTTGGGTTTCATATAAGAGCCACTTGCGTCAAATCTCTCTTCAATATTTTCACTGATTTCAGTTATACAGTTGTTTGAATAGATACAATTCTAATTTTAGTGGCCGTCGAGTTAGATCTAAGCGTTCCAATAATTAGTTGTACCATTGCCGCCTTTTTATTCTGAAAATGTTTTACTTTTATGACAAATTTAATACATTTATCTAACAACTTTTCAGTTTCTCTTTTGTATATCTGACGAAATCTTTGTTTTGGATCAGGATTGTGTGATCAACTGATCCTTTAAGCATCGCAAAGGAATATACTGATAGAAAATGACGCCTCTGCTTTCACTCCGGAGGCCAATGTACTGCTGATGAGTGAAAGTATGTTGATGACAAGCATTCATGGTTGAAATAAGAATGATAAAAAAAATCAACATACTCTACCAAGTAGTCTAAGAAAGAGGACTCAACATAAATATTTCTAGAACAGAAAAAATGATCTAGAATTGGAATGAAGGCAGTGATGAGACCTACCTTGATACCATCATAAAAATTCAGAATGTGAAATTAGTAAATACTAAGTACTTCAAATATCTCTGTGTATGAATCAATTTTAACAAATTTTGTAGAAGAGATAAAGAAACTGAATATAGAATATACTACCCTAGTAAGTTTTCTCCAAGATGTTACAAAACAAAAACATTAGCCGAAGAATTCAACCTCACAAGATCGAGATATTCATATGAATGTCATGTATGTTCAAAAATATTTCAACTGTCAACTGTATGCAACTGTTTTTTCCGGTCAATTATTAGAAATGGCTTCGGGTAAAGGAAGCGTGCGGCACTTAGTGAGGACCATGCTTCTTTGAACATTGTAGACTGACGCGACAGAATCATAAACAAATAACTATACCAAATAACAGAAACCACAGCACTTGCGGACTTTCAACAACAGAAACAACTAAATGGATATCACATGTAACTTGAAGTTTATCTTCCACCATTATAAAATCAATGTTTACATTCCACACTACTTCAAAGAAAAGGTTAGGAAGGAAACCCTCTTAAATACTGGAATGAGTGGTAACAATGAACTTGAGGATCCTATTATCCGGAAAAATGTTTTAATTGGAATATTTTATAAATTTCAACCGAAAGTAGTACTGGCTGCTCGGTCAATGAATGGCGAATGTTTCCTTATAAGGAGACAGCTAATATTATCATTACCATTTGCGTTTCCCAAAGAATTTTTTTAAGAATTTGACTTTTTATTCTCTGGAGCAGCTTCTGCCTTGTTTCTATATAATACAATTTTATAAAATTTGAATGTTCGAATACTCTCTGTTTTCATCATTGATGTTATATTTTATTGTACTGTTGGTATTGGCGACGTCATCATTATTTTCAGAGATAAGGTTATTCAATGTGCTTTGTAATATCTCAGAAAATCTCGATCATATATATCTTTCTTAGTGCCTGTTCAATTAAAACGTGTTCATAAACATTGTGACGACAGCCATATTGTGCTTGTTTAGCATCCAACTTCCGCTCTCTTCCCATCCCAACATGAATCACATGGCACAAAAGTGAATCAATGAAAAAACTTTAACGAAAGAGATTATTGAAATTATTTTGTTGTTAATATGCAACTGAACAAAAATGTGAAAACTAACAGATTCGCTAAATAGGAAGAATAAAAAAATATAAGTTCGCTTCGGTGTTATTTTGTTTCGTAGTAATTCTAATAGAATTTTTGGCAAATGGTTAATTACCAGGAATGGCCTTTTTCTCTTATTATGATATATATATATATATATATATATATATATATATATATATAGATATATATAGAGAGAGAGAGAGAGGGGGGGAATACGAGTATATAAGCATAATATAAGAAGCTTAATACAACTATTACAACAGTGTGTGTGTGTGTGTCTCATTGGCTAGTGTAATTACATTTTGGATGAGAGTGCATCGTATTATTTCTGTTTTGGTATCCTATAGGGTTATGAAATTTGAATAAGGTGTATTTAGGATGCAAGTATTCATCAAATAATTTTGATTAAAAGGAACAGACAAGTCAGTTCAATTTTTTATTGTATCTATTACAATTTTCGAATAAGGTGTTGTATATTGGGATCAAAATTGTGGATAAACTGTCCAACATTCATGTTTGTGCTGTTGTTCAAGTATTTGCGACTGTCTCATTCATTTTCAAGAACTATTGTGATGTTTGTGCGGGAGGCAGAATTGGTTTGTCTATATTCTAGTATTATTTGACATGAAAGTTTGAATTAGTCTAAAGATCATGTTACGTGTAACGGTTGCATGGAAACAAACAGCCACTTTGTCGATTCTTTTAATGAAACTTATATATATATATATATATATATATATATATATATATATATATATATATATATATATATATATATATATATATAAATATATATAAAGAAAACTAATTGCCTTTTATCTTATCGCACACAGAGCGAGTTATCAGATAGCGGAGAATTCAGTCAAATCTTTTTGAATAATTATCATCCAGGGTGGATATCTTGGATGATCTTGGATTAATTACTTTCTTCAACTATAAGGTTACAATGACTCAGTTCAATATATAATACATGATTTCACTGTATCTTTGACAGAAATTCATATATACTGCTGAGCTTAATTGTAACATAGAAAATTAGTTTAGCTTTAGAAACACGTTCTTAATTACTGTTGGATAAAGGTAATATTTTGTTAACCTTTTTGCGATATAATATTTTTTCCGTTTAGCATTTCCAGCCTATGCTAAAACTTCCAATCTATATATACAAGAATCTATAGCTTGCAAAATATGAACATATACCAGCATAAAAAATGAACTGTCTCTACCAAAATCATCATTTAAAAACTTAATTGCTAATGGAAGTATCCTGAATTCCATCCAGTAAATATTAAATATTGACACGCAGCTTTTCTGCTAATAAATGATAAAATAAACAATGTCTTAAAATAAAGAAAACGGCGGTAAGTAAAACATACCTGTTTTATTCTTTTCACACACATTATACACACACACACACACATACACACACACACAGACATATATATATATATATATATATATATATATATATATACTTGATTTTTTCAGTGAATGCATATTTATATTTCATAGAATTATCGTGCTAAACATAATCCAATTTCTTGTAGCAAAATGTGAAATTAAAATCTAATGCTCTGAAGGGGATAATTTAACTGTATGCCACGGTCTTGTATTTCTTGACTGCTATAAAAATTCAATAGAAAATATTCGCACCAAAAGGATGGGAGAAACGCATATTATGTTTAACTTAAAATACTTTATGAAATACAGAAAAGATAAGATAAGATACTCAGGTAAACAAATACCCGCCTTTATATGCGATCAGATAAACAAATACCCGCCTTTATATGCGATCAGATAAAAAATACCCGCCTTTATATGTGATCAGGTAAACAAATACCGCCTTTATATGCGATCAGGTAAACAAATACCCGCCTTTATATGCGATCAGATAAACAAATACCCGCCTTTATATGCGATCAGGTAAACAAATACCCGCCTTTATATGTGATCGGGTAAACAAATACCGCCTTTATATGCGATCAGGTAAACAAATACCCGCCTTTATATGCGATCAGATAAACAAATACCCGCCTTTATATGCGATCAGGTAAACAAATACCCGCCTTTATATGCGATCAGATAAACAAATACCCGCCTTTATATCCGATCAGATAAACAAATTCCCGCCTTTATATGCGATCAGATAAACAAATACCCGCCTTTATATGCGATCAGATAAACAAATACCCGCCTTTATATGTGATCAGATAAACAAATACCCGCCTTTATATGCGATCAGGTAAACAAATACCCGCCTTTATATGCGATCAGATAAACAAATACCGCCTTTATATGCGATCAGGTAAACAAATACCC